TTTTCTGTCTCGTTGATCTGTCTTTTGGAGTGAGTTGTGTGTTGAAGTCTCCTAAAATGAATGCATTGCATTCTATTTCCTGCCTTAATTTTGTTAGTATTTGTTTCACATATGTAGGCGCTCCTATGTTGGTTGCATAGATATTTATAATGGTTATATCCTCTTGTTGGACTGACACCTAATTATGTAATGTCCTTCTATGTTTCTTGTTACTTTCTTTGTTTTGAAGTCTGTTTTGTCTGATACAAGTACTGCAACTCCTGCTTTTTTCTCTGTTATTTGCATGAAATATCTTTTTCCATGCCTTCACTTTTAGTTTATGTATGTCTTTGGGCTTGAAGTGAGTCTCTTGTAGGCAGCATATAGATGGGTCTTGTTTTTTTATTCATTCAGTGACTCTATGTCTTTTGACTGATGCATTCAGTCCATTTACATTCATAGTGATTATCAATTGATATATACTTATTGCAGGCTTAAGATTCATGGTGACCAAAGGTTCAGGGGTAGCTTCTTTACTATCTAACAGTCTAACTTAACTCAGTACTTCATTTCAAACACCATCTAAAGGTTCTTTTTTTCCCCTCCCTTCTTTTTCTTCCTCCTCCACTCTTTATATATTAGGGGTCATATTCTGTACTCTTTCTGTATCCTTTGACTGACTTTGTTGGTAGTTGATTTAATTTTGCATTTGCTTAGTAATTAATTGGTCTACTTCCTTTACTGTAGTTTTATTTTCTCTAGTGACAGCTTTTTAGCCTTAGGGACACTTCCATCTATTGCAGTCCCTGCAAAATACACTGTAGAGACAGTTTGTGGGAGGTAAATTCCCTCAACTTTTGCTTATCTGGAAATTGTATAATGCCTGCTTCAAATTTAAATGATAATCTTTCCAGGTAGTGTATTCTTGGTTGGAGGCCCTTGTTTCATTTCATTAAATATATCATGCCACTTCCTTCTGGCCTGTACAGTTTCTGTTGAGAAATCTGATGATAGCCTGATGGGTTTTCCTTTGTATGTGATCTTTTTTCTCTTTCTGGGTGCTTTTAATGCTCTGTCCTTATGCTTGATCTTTGCCATTTTAATTATTATATGTCTTAGTGTTGTCTTCCTTGGGTCCCTTGTGTTGGGAGATCTGTGTACCTCCATGGCCTGAGAGACTATCTCCTTCCCCAGATTGGGGAAGTTTTCAGCAATTATTTCCTCAAAGAGACTTTCTGTCCCTTTTTCTCTCTTCTTCTTCTTCTTCTTCTTCTGGTACCCCTATAATATGAATATTCTTCCATTTGGGTTGGTCACACAGTTCTCTGAATATTCTTTCATTCCTAGAAATCCTTTTTTCTCTCTGTGCCTCAGCTTCTTTGTATTCCCATTCTCTAATTTCTATTTCATTTGCCATCTCTACCTCATCTAATCTGCTTTTTAAATCATTCCATTGTATATTTCATTTTGGGTACTGTGTTTTTCAAAGTTTCTGTCTCTTTCTTGAAGTCGTCCCTGAGATCTTGAATATTTTTCTGTAGCTCCACAAGCATGTTTATGCTTTTTATTTTGAAATCTTTACCAGGAAGATTGATTTCAGTTTCACTTAGCCCTGTTTCTGGTGTTTGTGGGACTTTGGTTTGTACTGGGTTCTTTTGCCATTTCATATTTGTATTGATTACTCTGGAATAATAACTTTGTGTATGCAGAAAATGCCCAGAAGCTCTAGTGCCCAGAAGCTCTACTCTCTGGAGCTGCCTAGCACCTGGATCGATGGCAGGGGTCACAGGTGAGCGGTGCTGGTGCTTGTTGGTAGGAAAGAATTCTTTCCTGCTTCCCTGTTGCAGTGCCTGCCTTCACCTCCAGGCCCATTGGGCAGAGCTTGCAGGGAGGAGCCTTTGTGTTATGCTCCTGTAGCTGCTGTAGTTGGAGCTGCCCTCTGGCTGGCCCAGCACAATGGTGGGGGCAGCAGGTTTGTGAGCCAGGGCTGACGGGGAGGAAGTAGCAGCAGGCTGCATATTGTGGTGGGTGGCCTTGGCATGCATTGCCAGCCAGGGGCATGAAGTGCCTGAAGCTCCTGAAACTTCTCAACCTGCTGGGCTGAGTGTACTGGGACAGTTTTGTCCACCTGTTCTTTCTCCCAAGGAGCAAGGTCTGTGTGGTCCTTGCCCCTTAGCAGCCCTCTTGCTGTTGGGAAGTCTTTCAAATTACCCACCTTTCTTTTGTCCCAGAGTGGCAGTTATGGGTACCTGTTCTCCACAAGCAGGTGGAATCTCAGTCTCTCCAAGTATTCTGCCTGTTTTAGCTTTCCAACCCCACTAATCTCCAGAGCACCATGTAATGTATGTTTGTTCTCCCAGAGCAGATCTCCAGGGCTAGGTGTTCAGCAGTTCTAGGCTTTTACCCCTTCCCCACTTTGTTTCTCTTCCTCCTGCTGGTGAGCTGGGGTGGGGGGAAAGCTTGGTTCCACTGGATTGTGACTCTGCTACTTTACCCTTTTCCATGAGGTCTTCTCTTTTCCCCAGATATAGGCAGTCTGTCACAGTCTTCTTTCTGGTTGCTCTTTCAGTTTTCACTATATTTGCTGAATTACCACATATGTGGTTTGGGGTGGAGGTTTCTGTCTCATTTCTCACACTGTGATCTTTAAGCCTCACATTCTTTCTTTTTTTGCATGGGAAAATAGGTACCTTCAGACTCGACAGTTTCTTAGTCAAAATCTTCAGACTCCATACTCCCAGCAGTTGCACTACTGGCCATTTATCCCAGAGAAATGGAGATTTAACAGTCACATAAAAACATGTATCTAAAAGTTGTAGAAGCTTTAATGTAGCACCCCAAAATGAGATAACCAGATGTCCTTCCATGAAACTGTAGGACATCATACCATGGAATATTACTCAGCTAAAAAAAAAGTATTGATACACACAACAACCTGGATAAATCTTCAGAGAATTATGTTGTGTGTGAAAAAAGATCCCAAAAGGTTATGTATTGTATAGTTCCATTTCTATAACATTCTAGAAATGACACAATTATAGAATGGAAGACAGTGTAGTGGTTTCCAGGGTATAGAAAGTGGTGGGTGGGTGGAATGGAAGTAGCTGTGCCTATAAAGGGGCAACATGAGACATCCTTGCAGTGATGGAAATTTTGTGCATCTTGACTACATCAACATCAACATCCTTGTTGTGACACTGTACTATTGTTTTGCAAGATGTTACCATCAGGGGAAAGTGCGTGAGAGTACTCAGGATCTCTATTTCTTACAACTGCATGTGAATCTATAATAATCTCAAAATAAAAAGTTCATTTAAAAAATCTTCAGTATTCTTCATCAATAGTTACTGTTATAGTGTCCAGAGTTTTATTGACTTTTATAACTTCTTGGGAAGCTATTAATAGATTTCTTCTGATTAAGGTCTAACTAGGGTCTCAGACATTTTCTTGTCAGGATTCTAATAATTAGGTCTAATGTATTTGTATACTAAGTTTGAAGTCACATAAAACTGTAATTTGATCAAATGAATTTCCTTATGGGGCTCATCATATCAAAATAAAATGCAGAAGCATTGTCTTGTGGATTTATGGGAACATTAGGATTATTTATGGGGGATAACTGTATACTTTATAATTCTATCTCCAAATGAGAAGCAAAACTTGTTCTTTTCATAACATGAACCCTACTGTCTTTGGAATAACCCCCTTGTACTATTTTAACATTGAAAATTAAGCCAAATCATTTATTAGAGAGAGGCTTTAGTCATGACGACTGAACTCCAGTGGTCAGTCAGGACATGAAAAGTGCTACACTTTGGAAGAACTCAGAATACAAGGAAATTAATTAAGTGGTTCAATGATATGAAGTTTGTCTACATTAGTATAGCAGAATCATAGAAAACTATGACATAATTGATGAGGGTACATGTTTTGTGTATTATCATGTCATGATATATATTGAAACTATTGTTGGACTGGTTCCTACATGTAATTTGTCAGACCTTGTCTTCCAGCTTAGCACTGATAGCCCTTATTATATAATCTGACTTACATATTATAAATGGAACTTCATAAAATGCCATTAATATTTCACTATATAAGCTTATTAAAGGGATTTGATAACAGTGAGCATGAATGACTAATATGAAATTCAATAACCTGAACTTCAGCCTGATCTGTAACTTTGGGATTTAGTCTTTATGTTCTACCAGTAAATGGCACATTTTGAATACACAGTAAAATTAGTTTAATGAATTTATATTGAGTTTTTGTGGGCCATTACTGCCTACCCATGACTGTGCTCCTATGGCCCCTAAAGAGAAGAGTGCAGTAGGACAGACAAGATACTCTCAGTGCGCAGAGGGGAAACCTGAACGGGTCCCAGGGAAAGTGTGAAAGAGCAGCAGCACCATGTTTCATGGGGAGCAGGGTCAGGCATGTGGAAAAGCCTGCAGATAGATTTGAGCCAGTTTTTCTTTCACACTGAAAAGAAAAGGGGGGAATCTGAGGAGGATATATAAGTACTAGCATTCAGGATAAATTAGAAATCTCTTTTTCTTAAATATATCATGTTTGGTTTAAATATAAGTATTGCTTGTTTTTACTTTTTCCTCTTTTATTTCTAAAAATGCTTTTGTGGGCTAATTTGAGATCTAGCCACCATTTGTAATGTGAGTAATATGCATTCTGAATTCTAGTGACTAAGAGTGAATTGTCTATGCTCAGTTTGTTCCCTACTGATGGCATATAACTTGATCTTTTTCTTTGGTCTTTCTGACCATGCTTTCCTGTTTGTGGGCAGTAGATCCACTCCTGTTAAGTCTCTATTTTTCCTTTTAACTACTTTATTACTTGTCAGTTAGTGACTAGCTTACAAGTTGATATGTCACAAGCCTTACCCATAAGATGTTTTAGAGAATATCATAAGGCCCCACTCGTTTGCATTTAATAGAACAGGAAGTCCTTTTCGTGCCATACCTTTGTGATAATTTAATTTTCCATTTACTGTGGATCCTTTCCAGCACATTTTTGGATATCTTGTTGAACCTTCTTAACAATTCAGAGAAACTACCGAGTGACTACTAAAAGAAGGCTCTAATCTTAAAGCTTACGTGAGTATTTTCTACTCTGAACTTGCTCAAAATCTGTGAAAGCTTCATTGACCCATGGCCTTGCTTTAGGGCAGACTCAGTTCTGTGATCAAGATGAAAATATTATCTACCATTGGGCTTATTAAATTTGGGGGTTTGGTTAATTTCTCAAGGACACAAACACAAAATACACCACACTTATTCTCACTTAAAAAATAGACAAGAAAGGTTTGTCTTTTTACTGAGCTAATATCGAAAAGAATCCCATTTTGCAAACCGCAAGAATTCTTACTTTGTTTGAACCAAAATACCAAGTAGATTGTTTTTCATTATCTGTTCTTCAGAATTTAACCAAAACTCATTACCTCTTGAAACACACTTGATATGTGGTATTTTACTTTTTAAAAAGTGTGTGATAGCTTTGTCTTTTCTATGATCCAATCCAGTGAATACTCTAAGGGAAAATAGAGAGATTAGCCTTAAGAGAATTATTAACTATTGTATTGACTAATTCCTTTTCATTGGGTTAATTTCTTTAAAAAGCATTATATAGTATCATAATCTGAAGTTTAATTTGATCTCTTGTCTAGTTTCAGAAAAACAAAAACAATGGGTATTTTTAATGAGCTTATACTAAATCTATAAATTAACTTGACATCTTTCTAATTTTGGGTCTTCCTATTTAGGAACATGGGGTGCCTTTCCATTTGTTCCTTCAAAGCATTGTAAATGTTTTCTCAAAAATATTGATCTTGGACTTCCTAGCCTCTAGAACTGGGAATCATAAACAGATTTTTCCCTTAGAATTATGCTTAACAATGCTTAAGTTGTGCTAATTGTATCTTCTATTTCTCACCAGTATGTCCCCTTCTCTCTGCCATTACCTTAGATCAGGATATCACCGTTTCTTGCCTAGATTTCTCCCGTGACCTACTGATTGATCTCTGTCTCCAATCTTGAACCCCCAGTCTGACCTCTATATTGCCAACAAAGTAATCTTTTGAAATAGTAATGTAAGACCATGCCATTTCCTTTGGCTTAAAATCCTTTTATTAACTCCTTACTAAAATTCAGGTATAATAAACCTTACCATGGAATTGTTAGGAAGATTAAATAAAATTCATTAAGAACCTCTAGTGCAAAATGTCCTGGTCAGAACAGGCCCTCGGTATGTGTTAGTGTTTCCCTTTTGCCCAGACAACCTATGGCAGCCCCAGAGATCTAGTGTAAGCTAGCCCAGGACTAGAGGGACAGTGGTTCTGCAGGAAGACCAGGCTCAAAGGGGTAAAGGCCAAGAAGCTCGCCGGACCCCACAGCTGTGCTTTCCTGAATCCCCTGAGGTTAAGCACAGGAATAAATTGGTTTAGCCTCCAATTAACATCCAATCCAATGTTCAAAAAAGAAAGTCTTTGCCTGATAAATGACAAGCCAAGCCTATGTGTGACTTAGCTTTTTTAACCTAAGAGTAAGGGAGCCATCTCTATAAACACATCAGTCTCTGCCTTTGTGTTTTCTTGTTTTGGTTTGTTTCAATTTCATAGTGAAGTTTATTTTATAAGATTTTAACTTGTTCTTAAATGAACCAGGGTGGAGAGAGAGAGACAGAGAGACAGAGAGACAGAGAGAGAGACGGAGAGAGAGACGGGGAGGGGGAGAGGGGGAGAGGGAGGGGGAGAGAGACACACACACACACTTTGAAAAGATTTTTGGGTCAGATAAGTTTCAATGAAATAGGTGTAGACAAGCTAGTTAAGCTTCATCAGATGGATGAAATGTTAGAGTGGGCACAGTTGAGATGCTGCCTTTTTCCCACCTCTATTCCTAGAGAGGCCTCATCTTCAGACAGTGGGAGTTTGGCAGAATCAGATATTTAGATAACCACAGAACAGAAAATAGTAGGATCAATATTGTACAAAAAAAATCTGAATTCATTTCATGATATTTCCATTTTTTAAGTTCAGTTTGTCACTTTCATTTGCTTTTCTCTTTCTATTAAATTTTGAAGTTTGTGCAATAAACACAACATTCAGTGGGTCCTTAGTTAAGTGTGAATTAACTTACTCGTTTTTTTCATGCAGATTTACCTTTTGAGCAGATAATTCTGTTTACCATATAGAATATCTCAAATACAATAAGAAGCAAATATATGAAAGAGAATTACTTTAAGTCAGAAGTTCTACCAGAAATGGCTTTTGTGTGTGTGAGTGTGTATGCACATTCATGTATGTGTAGGTCTTTGAAGTTTAAGGATCACATCATCAATGTCTTTTGACAATGCAGTAAACTTCAATCTAAGCAATTATATCTTGCTTAACTTTTAAAATAGTTCTTTAATCTTTTTTGCATGATGAAAAGCAAAATAGTTTTATAGTAATTTAATTGGAATTTTGATTCAGCAGATATGAAAAAAATTAGCAGCTTAATGGAAAATAAAATCTAATTGATAACTTTGTTTATATCTCTTTGGTGAGGTAATTTATTAGAGGCAAGAGCCAAAGGATAGAAATAGTACTTTTCTAAGTGACTTCACTGTTTTGCTCTAGTCTGGCTTTACTGAAATCTCACCCACCTTATATTTATTTCATTACAGGCATTTTCCATCTACCATATCAGAAAGATGTCCTATGTTTTTGTAAATGATTCTTCTCAGACCAATGTGCCCTTGCTACAAGCCTGTATCGATGGAGACTTTAACTATTCCAAGCGGCTTTTGGAAAGTGGCTTTGACCCAAATATTCGTGACAGCAGGGGCAGAACAGGCCTTCACCTTGCAGCAGCTCGAGGGAATGTAGACATCTGCCAGTTGTTGCATAAATTTGGTGCTGATCTTCTGGCAACAGATTATCAAGGAAACACAGCCCTTCATCTTTGTGGCCATGTTGATACTATTCAATTCTTAGTTTCCAATGGACTAAAAATTGATATTTGGTAAGTTCTCTGTGGTTTTTGAAGTCTAGTCATTCTTCTCAGTCTCAGAGCCAATGGTTTAGTCTCAGAGTCTATTGATTTTGTGTCCTCATTGATCAGTTATAGCAACAAGTTCAGAAAGGCATTGAGGTCAGTGTAGTCTTCTTAGGGGAGAGAGGGAATGGAGTGGCTTCTAGATTTATGCTGAAGTAGTGTAAATTTTACTTGAAAATAGTAGATAGGTTCTGCTACTAATTGTTATATATTTTAAGACAAGGAAAAACAAATGAACATTTCTTGAAAATCTGTTATGGACTCTGGGTACTGTGTTTACTTAAGTTAGTTCATTTAATCATTAGAGTGAGTAATACTTGAGGTGGGTGTTATCTTCATCTTACAGATGAAAGAGTTGAAACAAGAATGGTTAAATGACTTAACAAAGGTCACGCAGTTGGAATTTGAATCTAGTAACACCTGATTCCAAAGCCTGTTTGCCTTCTATGTATATAATTACCTTGTGCGCTTCATATCTTTTCTGGGGCTCAGTCCTCTTTATACTGAGCAATTTGAAGTAGTGTTTTTTGTTTGTTTTAGTTAACTTGTGGGAAAGATGTCAGGCCACCTTTAAAACTGAGTTGATCTTTAAACTATAATTACATGTTACCTAATTTATTGGTGCTATAATGCCCCTAAATCTGAACTTATTCAGGTGGCAGTAAATGCTTCTGCTATGACAGGAAAAAATGCAGAAACTGACTCTGGGATTCAGTGTCATTTGGCCTGTCTCCTATTATTAGTGTTAAATAGCCAGATGAACCAAAACAGCTTATATGTTTTGTTTTTAATTCTTAGACATTTTTAAAAATATGCATTTTCTCATAAAATATAAACATAAGATAAGAATGAATCTAAAATCTAGAACTTTCCAATTAACTTCTAGAAAGATGCCCTCTTTTTATTTATTCTCATTTATTACTGTTATTCTCACTCTTTTGCTTGTACAGTTGACCCTTGAACAACACAGGTTGAATTGCCTGGGTCCACTTATACACAGATCTTTTTCAATAAATAAATGGAAAATTTTTTTGAGACTTGTGACATTTTGAAAAAACATTTTTTTCTCTAGCTTTATTGTAAGAATACAGTGTATAATGTGTACAATAAAATATATGTGTTAACTACTTATATTATCAGTAAGGCTTCTGGTCAACAGTAGATTATTTAAGTTTTCGGGGAGTCAAATGTTATATGTGAATTTTTGACTGTGCAGGGGTTTGGTGCTCCCAAACCCTGTGTTATTCAGGAGCCAACTGTACACTTTTTGTCCTTTTTCTCTAGAAGGAAGAAAATAGATTGACTCATCTAGTTCAACCATTGCTTCTGTTTGAGTTTTAACTTTGAGTTAATTTGGTCCATGCCTTCTTCCCTGAGATCTACACAAATGGGTGCTAACAACATAATATAACTGCTATGAAAACCTTCATTTTTATGAACTTTTTTAGCAATCATCAAGGTGCTACACCCTTAGTTCTGGCAAAGCGCAGGGGAGTGAACAAAGATGTCATCCGATTGCTGGAATCTTTGGAAGAACAAGAGGTCAAAGGATTTAACAGAGGAACTCACTCAAAACTGGAAACCATGCAGACAGCTGAAAGTGAAAGGTATGTAAGATACAATTTTTTAAGCAGCAACTTACTTCTTAAGTGTCTGGATCCTTTGTGACAACTTTATAAGCTTTGTATTTATTTCCTGTCAAGTACAGAGCTTTGATAATTTGTTTGAACTTTATATAGGTCACTATGGGTCCAGATTACAGTTGAGAAGCTATTAATAGAAAGTACTACAGGCCCCCCCACACACAATAATTTGTTAGACTGTGCAAGGAAACCTGCTGAATTGGCAACACGATGGAGAAGAGGTAGCTGAGAACTGAATATGAGGGAAGGAAACAGGAGTTTGAAAATTGTAAATAAAGGTCACAAAAAGTGGAATTTCAAAGGAGGAGGGGAAAGATAAGTAAAGCTTGAGAACTTGGACAATATCAGAAAAGACCAAGAAGGTAGTTGTAACAGTAGGGAAGTGTAGTGCTGAAGACAACTGAAACAGGAAGAGAGAAAGAGAAAGTAAGGCAAGATTCAGTGTACACACAATCCTGTAAGGTCAGGTAAAAGCTACTTTCACATGAGTTGGAAAAATGAAATCTAGGCTCCTATAAGCACTTGAAGCTCAGATGTAATGACTGACAGGGTCTTAAGCATCCTGTTTCTCATCTAGAAGCAGTTTAGAACACAGTTCAGGGAGCCCTGAAAGGTGACAAAGCATCTTTTCCCCTGACCTCGCTAGCTCTAGAGGCAGTCAGACGGCTGGACCTGGCTGTACTAGCACATAGTTCCGTTGGCCACCCTGGAGTCTCCAGCTTTCCAGGTGGTAACAAGGTAAGGATGATGAGCTTAGTCTCCTCCCAGAATTTCCAGTAGAATGTATTACAAGGGCCCTCATTGGCTCCTGAGCCAGTACCTGAATGATCAGCAGTGGGAATCAGGGTAATAGAGCCCACTCAGACCATTGGGATCATTGTTTCTGTGAGTTCTAAGTGAAGTCTTTTCTGTTTCTCATAGTCCACTCTTAAACTGATGACTTTGCATGTGTAGTTGCTTTCTCCCCTCTTCATGTGCAGGCCTGTACACTCCTTGGGGACTGTTAATTCTGCTGTCAAGTTCAGGACTGTTTTGTTTAGATACTTCCAAGTATTTACTACTGTCCAGAAAAATCAGAGAAATTTACTTCTGGAACAGTGCATGCTTCTCATAAGTCACCACTGAAAGCCGACAAGTGGATAAAATAAGAAGTTGAAGATACATTGGCAAGCCTTTTATCTCACCTGTGTGCTCTGGATCACCAGTCAGAATGCCCCGAGTTTAATAAACTGGGTTATCTAATATTTGTTAAAGATCATATTCTTCCAAAATAACCTAAAGTTCATTTCCATAATTATTTTAAGCTTCTTTACCATGAAAAATGTTCAGGAATGTCTTTTTGCTTGGTATGTTTTGGGGACCTCACTTGCTGTATTTTGTTAATAGCTAGTTTCTTGGCATCTCTTTATCAGCAGTAGACTAACTTGATTTTTGCCTCTGATGTGATTACTTATTAGCTAAGAAGTCATTTGAGCAGCTCCACATGAAGTATTTACTCATACTTTCACATACCTGCTATTTCACTTAAGCATGAGAATTTGTATTATTTATAACTTTGTATAAAGTCAGTTCTTAAAAATTGAATTATTATACTTGGTTATCCTGTCTTACTCCTGCCCCTCAGTGTCGTGGTAGAAATATAGTTGTTGAAGTTTAAATTAAAATGCTTAAAGGCAACATCATTGGTCATTAGGGAAATGCAAATCAAAACCACAGTGAAACACCACTTCATACCCAGTAGGTGGCTATAATCAAAAAGATGGACAACAGCGAGTTTGGCAAGGATGTGGAGAATTTGGAATCCTTATACACTGCTGGTGGGAATGTGAAATAGTGTAACTACTTTGGAAAATAGTCTGGCAGTTCCTTAAAATGTTATACAGTTACCCTATGACCCAACAATTCTGCTTTTAGGTATATATCCAAGAAAACTGAAAATATGTTCACACAGAAACTTGTACCCAGATGTACATAGCATTATGTATAATAGCCCAAAGGTGGAAACCACCCAAAAGTCCATCAACTGCTTAATGGATAAACAAAATGTCATCTATCCATTCGTGGAATATTCCTCCAGAAAAAGGAATGAAATACTGATATGTGCTACAATGTGGATGAGCTTTCAAAACATGCTACAGAAGAGAAGCCAGTCATAAAAGGCCACATATTATATAATTGCATTTATATGAAATGTCCAGAATTGGCAAATAGAGAGTAGATTAGTGGTTGCCAGGAGCTGGCGGAAGGGGCAATGGGAAGTGACTTCTAAAGGGTACAGAGTTTATTATGGAAGAGAGAAAAACATTCTGAAATTAGTGGAGATTGTTGTATAATTGTGAATATACTAAGAAACACTGAATTTTATGACACATGAATTTTATTAAATTAAAAAGTAGGGGAGATAAAGTTCAACAGGATTGGCTGGCATTGTGGCATAGCTGTATGATGATTAGTCTTTTTTAGCGCAGAAGATAAAACAAGATTTTGCATGTATTTGATATTTCCTATTTCCCTTAGGGATGCCCTGACACATAGCATAACTTGTTTTTAATTGAAGTGTAGTTGATATACAATATTATATTGGTTTCAGGTGTACAACATAGTGATTCAGCAATTATCTACATTACAAAATGCTCTCCACAATAAGTAGAGTTACCATCTGTCACCCTACAAAGATAATCCAATACTATTGACTATATAACTGGAGAAAATCCAATACTATTGACTATTTAAAGTTTGTACCTCTCCCCTATCAACTACCAGTTTGTTCTCTCTATTTATTAGTCTATTTCTGCTTTGTTCATTTTATTTTTTTAGATTCCACATATAAGTCATGGTATTTATCTTTCTGTATCTGACTTATTTCACTTAGCATGATACCCTCTAGGACCATCCATGTTGTCACAAATGGCAAGATTTCATTCTTTTTGTGGCTGAGTAATACTCCATTGTGTGTATGCACCACATCTTCTTTATCCACTCATCTATCAATGGACACTTAGGTTACTTCCATCTTGGCTATCATAAATAATGCTGTAGTAAACATAGGGATGCAAATATCTTTTCATATTATTTTGTTTTCCTTGGGTAAATACCCAGAAATGGAATTACTGAGTTTTATGGTATTTCTATTTTTAATTCTTAGGGCAACCTCCATACTGTTTTCCACAGTGGCTGTACCAATTTATATTTCCACACAGTACACAAGGGTATTCTTTCTCCACATCTTGCTCCTTCTTTTCTTTTTGTTATTGGCTATTCTGACTGGTGTGAGCTGATACCTCATTTCCCAGATGATTAGTGATGTTAAGCTTCTTTTCATGTATATATTGTCTATAGTATTGGCCATCTGTATGTTGTCTTTGGAAAAATGTTCATTCAGGTTTTCTGCCCATTTTTTAACTGGATTATTTGGGGGTTTTTTGGTGTTGAGTTCTAAGATTTCTTTATGTATTTTGGATATTAACCCCTTATCAGATATATCATTTGAAAATACATACTCCCATTCAGTAGGTTGCCTTTTCATTTTGTTGATGTTCCCTTTGCATTGCAGAAGCTTTTAGTTTCATGGAGTCCCACTTGTTTATTTTTGTTGGGTTTCCCTTGCTTGTAGAGTCATATCCAGAAAAAAAGTTTCTAATGCTAATGTTTAAGTGTTTACTGCCTGTTTTTTTTCCCCAGAGTTTTATGGTTTCAGGTTATCTTTATCAGGTTTCTATGTCTCTTAGGATTCCCTGAGACATAGCATAACTTCGTAAGGGCCTATAAATTTAGTTGATGAAAAATATTTTCCTGCTGCCCCATACAGGTATACCTTGTTTTACTGTGCTTCACTTAATTGTGCATCACAGATACTGCAATTTTTACAAAGTAAAGGTTTGTGACAACCCTGCATCAAACAAGTACATGGATACCATTTTTCCAGTAGCATTTTCTAGCTTCATGTCTCTGTCACGTTTTGGTAATTCTCAACAGGACTTCAAACTTTTTCATTACTATTAGATTTGTTATGGTGATCTGTGATCAGTGATCTTTCATGTTACTATTGTAATTGTTTTGGGTGTCATGAACTGTACCCATAAGGCAGCAAACTTAATGCACGAATGTGTGTGTTCTGACTGCTCCACTGACGAGCCATTCCCCTGTCTTTCTCTCCCTCTTTGGGCCTCCCTATTCCCTGAGACACAACAATACTGAAATTAGTCTGATTAATAACCCTACAGTGGCCTCTAAGTGTTCAAATGAAAGGAAGAGTCACACATCTTCCACTTTAAATAAAAAGCTATAAATAATTAAGTTTAGTAAGGAAGCCATGTTGAAAGCTGAGATAAGCCAAAAGCTAGGCCTCGTGCCCCCAATAGTTAGCAAGTTGTGAATGCAAAGGGAAAGTTCTTGAAGGAAACTACAGTGCTACTCCAGTGAACACACAAATGCTAAGAAAGGTAAACAGCCTTATTTCCAATATGGAGAAAGTTTCAGTGGTTTGAATAGAAAATCAAACCAGCCACAGCATTCCCTTAAGCCAAAGCCTAATCCAGGCCTCAACTCTCTTTAATTCTGTGAAGGCTGAGAGAAGTGAGGGAGCTGTAGGGGAAAAGTTGGAAGCTAGCAGAGGGTGGTTCACAAAGTTAAGAAAAGAAGCCATCTCCGTAACATCAAAGTACAAGGTGAAGTGGCAAGTGCTGATGGAGAAGCTGCAGGAAGTTATCCAGAAGATCTAGCTGAGAAAATTCTTTCAGGAGGTTACATAGGTTAAACAATAGATTTTCAATATTGGAAGAAGATGCCAGCTAGGACTTTCATAGCCAAAGAGGAGAAGGCAATGCCTGGCTTCAAAGGACAGACTGACTCTTTTGTTAGGGGCTAATGCAACTGGTGTCTTTTAGTTGAAACCAGTGCTCGTTGACCTTTCCGAAAATCCTGAGGCCCTTAAGAATCATGCTAAATATACTCTGCCTATGTTCCTAAATGGGACAACAAAGCCTGTATGCCAGTACATCTGTTTACAACATGCCTTATTGACCAGTGTAAGTCCCTTTTTGAGACCCCACTACTCAGAAAAAAGATTCAAACTACTACTGCTCCTTGACAATGCACCCAGCCACCCAGGAGCTCTGATGATACAAAGAAATGAATGTTGTTTCATGCCTGCTACCACAGCATTCATTTTGCAGCCCATGGATCAAGGAGTCATTTTGACTTAACAGTCTTAATATTTGAAAAATACATTTTGTAAGGCTGTAGTGCCATAATGATTCCTCTGATGAATCTGGGCAAACTAAACCAAAAACCTAGAAAGGACATCATTCTAGATGCCATTAAGAATATTCATGATTCACAGGAAGAGGTCAAAATATCAGCACTAATAGGAGTTTGGAAGAAGTTGAACCCTCATGAGTGACTTTGAGGGGCTCAAGACATCAGTGGAAGAAGTAACTGTAGATGTGGTGTAAACAGAAAGAGAACTAGAATTAAAAGTGGAGCCTGAAGACATGACTGAATTGCTGCATCTCATGACAAAACTTGAACCAATGTGGAGCTGCTTCTTACGGATGAGCAAGGAAAATGGTTTCTTGAGGTGGAAACTACCCCTGGTGAAGATGCCATGAAGACTGTTGAAATTACAACAAAGAATTTAGAATATTATATGTACTTAGTTGGTAAAACAGTGAGAAGGTTTGAGAGGACTGACTCCAATTTTGAAAGAAGTTCAAAATTGTGGATAAAATGCTGTCAAACAGCATCACATGCTACAGAGAAATTTTCATGAAAGGAAGAGTCAATGAATGTTGTAAACTTCATTGTTTTATTTTAAGAAATTGCCACAGCCATCCAAACTTTCAGCAGCCACTGCCATAATCAGTCAGCAGCCATCAACATCAAGGCAGGACCCTCCACCAACAAAAAGATTACAGCTCAGTGAAAGCCCAGATGATGGATAGTATTTTTTAGCAACAAAGTATTTTTTAATTAAGGTATGTACTTTGGGTTTTTTTTAGGCATAATACTATTGCACACTTAGTGGACTACTATATAGTGTTACTGGAACTTTTATATGCATGGGAGTACTAAATGGGAAACCAAAAAATTCATTTGGCTCACTTTATTATGATAGGTGCTTTATTATGTTTATAATCAACCTGCAACATGTTTGTTACATGTCTCAGCCTAAGTTTAATTTAGTTCCTTTTTACTTTGTAGATATGAAATGACAAAGAAATATAGATGACATGTACAAAAAAATGTATATTACACACACAGACCATCATCCTGAAATCCAGGTATTTCCTGGACAGTAGAAAACACTTCACTGGATAAAGTCACTATAGAAAATTCTGATTGGCAGATCTTCATGAGCTTCTAGAGAATGCTCAATTGAACTGTCATTTTATATCTAGCATCTTTGAATATGAGAGCACGTCAGATCGGACATAGTCAACAAAGTTCACATAAGTCTAAATTAACCTCTTTTTAAGCTTCTTTATCTACTTATGGTTATATGTGTTTAAACCTCAAAGTTCCGGTCTTTTTTTTAAACATGTTTGAGTGTTCTTAAATTTATTTTTATTGTTATAGATTCCCACTGAAAATGTCTTCTCATTCAAAGAACAAAAACATCTTCTAACATAAGAAAAGTTTGGATGTCAAACAGACTGGCCAATTAGGAAGTCAGTTTCCCATGATTAGGATGTAATACCATTAAAGGCTGAAGACCTCTGGTTAACACTGTCAAGAAGTAAAATAAAGTTTTAGGTTTAAAAAAACTGCCACTTTTGTACAGGGAACCAGTCTAAGACATTGCTTTATGTTGTTTGCATTATTCTGTGTCCAGATGACTGGAAAAATACAAAGAGAATGGATTTAGAAGGGTAGTAATGGCCTTTTATAAGCAACAGATAGTTGATACATAGGATTATAGTCATTGTGGCTTTTATCTAAATGATACTCAATTATTGGGCCTGCATGTTGTGACGTAATTGTGGGTGCTAATCCCTTACAGCTTTGAATTCATCACCATGTGGGCTTCCAAATACCAAAGTCAGATACATTATTTTCTTTTTGTGATGGTCATATTTTTTTATTGATATAGTTCTAAAAACCAGAATCAGTGTTTTTATGGTATTTGTACTACTTTATTTTCAACTAGGCTTTATACAGAAGAAAAATAAACTTATTTTCTATCATTTTACAAGATAGAACTAAAGCCAGGGGGAGGAAACTATTAAGAATGTTTAATTACTAGCCCTGTCTAAATGTACAACTGACTGAGGAGTAAGTATCCATTGTTCGAGGATTACATTTAAAAGAAGGAATTGCTTCATTGGTCAGATTATAGAACTAAATTAATAAAAATTCCCTTTTTAAGATTCACACATTGTTTAGAATGATTTTTTTAGATTTGCCCATTTTTGCTTATTTTCATTAAAATTAATTTTCAAATTATCACTCGTTATTTTGAATTCTTCTAACTTTAAAATAACCAATATAAGTTTTGGTTTAGTATGTGAATTGGAAACAACTGAGTTGACCTATTTCAAGACTTCTGTTTGGGACTTTTTTATGGATTTTTAACTTCGACTCTGCTAGATATTAAACCAACAAACATAATCATTGCAGTTTAGGAATTTACATTTTAAGATAGATTGTCCAGACACATGCAAATATATAAATCAGTACATAAGTATGTGGGAGTATATATATGTCAGTTTTCTTCTTGTAAGTGTTGTGTTGTAAGGTTAGTCTTTTCTAAGTAATTCAGTCCTTTTGTTTTATGTTTTTGGCATGGATGAAATGTGTTGTCTCATGTCCCTTTCTTCTCTCTGCTTCTTTCACAGTGCCATGGAAAGCCATTCTCTCCTTAATCCCAACCTACAGCAAGGTGAAGGAGTCCTGTCCAGCTTCCGAACCACCTGGCAGGAGTTTGTGGAGGATCTGGGCTTCTGGAGAGTGTTGCTGTTGATCTTTGTCATTGCTTTGCTGTCCCTTGGCATTGCCTACTATGTAAGCGGGGTGCTTCCCTTTGTGGAAAACCAGCCTGAACTGGTGCATTAAAGGAGTTTATGAGGCAAATGCCTGTTTCCTGGCTTCCAATGTTTGTGTTCAGTTTCACAAAATCTTTCTCTTATTGCAAGACAGTGAGGGCTGTACATTTTTCTTTTTGCATTTTTACTTATTGTAGTCCTTGTGGAATGACATGTTCATTTGAACTACTTACTGAAGTCAAGTATACTGCATCCTAAAGCTACCTCTGACCCAACCTGACTTCTTAGGAGAGCCTACACATAGCCTTGTTTGATAAAAATATGGAAATGATAAAGAATGAAAGGTAAAGGAGGAAACTACAAAGTCCTTGCCAGAAACCTTAACCTAATATAGGACAAACTAAAATGAGGTATTGAAAAAGAAAAAGGGGTTTTCATATGATTACTTTTTGTTAATAGTTTGATTTCTTCTTTATTGTTGTGAGAGTCCCTTTTCTCTTTTTATTTTCTTTCTCTAGGAATAGAGGAGACAATGAAACTCAACTTAAAATGAAGTGCTTTTTTCAAATCCAGTATAGCAAACCAGTAATATTTTCAAGTCTAGTAACAAACAAAACAGAACTTTTCAAAAATGATTGGTTTGATCTTACATTGATTTGTTTTTAGGATAGTTTTGATTTTTTTTTTTGTAAACTGCTCTGCTTGTTGTTAATATTTGTGAAAAAATGAATTTGAGGAGTTCATTTTGTTTACTTTTCAATTTTCCCAAATGTTTATTTCAAAGATATCCTATTCATCAAAAATACAGCAAAAAAAACTCTTTTTCTACTCGATAGTTAGCCGGAGAAAATAATTCTGATGTTTAACTCTCACTGTAATTCTGTAGTGCTATTATAAGATAACAGTGAAAAATTCAGTTCTGTAAGCTAGCCATGTTGTTTCAAGTGTATTGTAGTTCACAGTATTTCATTTTATGTGCAGTCCTGTTCAGAGGACCTGTTAGAGTTGTCATAATCGTTTCTTCTAATTCTCTGATGGCAAGAACGGATGGAGTATTTCTGAGTTAACAGCACTGAATACTGTTGTACTGTTTGTCATAAACTCGTGATGAATGGTAATATTATGTAAGTTGAAATCTGGCCCCCAAACTGGATTGCAGCTTTCAGCAGTATGTTTGAAGGCCTCTTTTGTTAATGAATCTGTTATGTATAAATCATATTCTTGGGTTTTAAGAAGGAATATGAAGACTTGATAATTATTCTTTGGATGTAGTCAGAAAATTTTAGTGAAAGAACTAATGGTTTTATTTTTTAGAACAAAGGCATCTAAGCTACTTCTAATTGAATTGTTGCTAGAATTAAAAATTATACTTTAGAATAGAATTGGTATTTCTGTGATGCTTTTTGCTTCTTGATGTTTTTCTCTTTTGTATTTAAATATCTAGGATTGAGATATTTTTCTTTCATGTGACTTTATCTTCTCAAGGAGTTGATTGAAATTTCTGATTTAACTGGCTGCTTCAGGATCAGCTCACAGAGTCTTGCTTTTAAGTTAGATAGAAAATAAATCATACTTGGTGAAAATATGCTAAATAGAGCAAAAATCAGCAGACTTTAGAATGGAGAAAACTAGAATCCAAAAATCAAATATATTCAGAATGAAAGCTTCAGAATTAACTATATTGTTTGTAAATCTAAATGGATATGCAAAATTGGTTAACATATGTAAATATATTGCATTTTTTAAAGATTAATGTTCCCTTTTAAGTGCTGGTTTTTTGTATTTTATTCTTTGCATTCAACATTCAGTAATACTACCAATAAATGTATTTATAATCTCTTAATCACAACCTGTTCTCTTAGTGTATCATTGTTTTTCTTTTAATTTAGGGTTTTTGTAATACGTTGCAATTGGCTGTTTAAAAAACAGCTTTTTTTCAAACCCGTTATAATAGGTATACCAAGTTTCATAGATATTTGCCTTGTAGATGCTCTGAAACTAATATGAGTTAATTATTTGTGGATGTAAGAGTGATAATAACTACCATGATTAAGTATCTTCCAGTTATACAACTCACTTCACATGCCTTATTTCATGTCATCCTTATGGTCCCACAATCAACTACATTTCCCCATTTTACAAAGTGAGGAAACTGACACAGGGAGGGTTAAGTAACCTGTCCAAGGTCACACAGCTAGGACATTATAGAACCAGGGATTCCAGATTGAGGCTGTGTCCCCAGTTACAAGTTTGCTCTTTCCTTTTGTCCCATTGTCTGTCATGACTATGGCAGTAGAACCATCTAGAACCTTACATGCTGCTGTCTCAAAAATACGTTACTGAATTTTCCCACTCCTGATCCTAAATACTTATCTTACACCATTTTCCATATCCTCCAAATGTTACTAACCTTTAAAATTCAAGCTCAAACTCCAGCATGTTTAGAAAACCTTCCCTTGCTAACCCTGTCTGACTGCCCACTTCTCTATCATTTTCTCACCACCTAGTAAACATGTATTTTTTTTCATTTGTCTCTTTTTATAAGCTTCTTGAGAGCAGAGACAGTCAATTTCTACTTCCCTGCCTGTCCACAGTGCAGCCTGGAGAACTCTTGGTACACAAATACTGATAACATTGCTTTTTCACCTCTGGTCATATTTTTTCTTTAAAGATTATATAGCTTTTTACCTTTCACATGTTTCCTCTTAAATGCTGCATGTGTGAACTGTGCTTGTTATTTTTCCACACTAGGCCACTACCTGATAGAACTATACAGTCTCATACTGTGTAGCTCCTTCACGTAAGAGCATGCAGGGTTTCAACCAGTATAGCCTGCCTTGCATTTTAGTACTTGGTATGGAAGTCCAGGAACAATACTCACCTTTTTGTCATTGGTGGTGGTGTTTTTGTTTTTGTTTTTTTAACCAAGCCTCAGTCTTTGACTTTTCTGCATGTATCAAAGGGTTTTCAGCTGCAAGAAGCCAAAATTCAAATTCAGTGTGGCTTAAACCATAGGAAATGTCCTGATTCATGTAACTGGAAGTTCAGAGATAGAGTAGACCACAAGGGTGACATAATCCAAATTTAGCTGAGTTCCCCTGTGCTTTTGGCTCTGTGTTCCTATTTCTGGCCTTCATCCTCCAGCTGGTTCTGAGGTAAGTCCAAAATTTTTCAGGCCTTACAGCCACTTGTAAGTAGAGAAGAAAGAGACCATCTTTCCTGTGGTTTTCTCCTAGGAAACTGTCTTGCACAGCCCTCAGCAAACTTCCTCTTTGTTTGACTGGCTGATGTTACATCTTGTATCCTATTCTCCAACCAACCAATGCCTTATGCTAGTTGATTAGGCTTGGATGGATGAACCAGTCACTGATGAGGGTGGAGTTAGTAGAATTAATGTGATTGGCTTGGATCAGTGGCTTTAGAAATGATTAAAGGCACTGGTAATTATTGGTAGAGACTATGGATGTTTTATGTCCCACAACACATGGCAGTTTAGCACAGCAAAGAATCCACAAGACACTGAATATTCTGCTGAACGTTCAAAAAAAAAACACAATATTTAGTTATCTGAGCCTAAAGCGCAACTTCATTTTATATTTTAAGATGATGTACTTTTTAATGCAGTTTTAATATGCTGGATTTTCTAAGAGTACGTCCATGAGATAATAAGTAAGATTATACTTTATTTTGTTCAAAACTTGACCAAGAATTATGCCTGTTTCAAAAAATCATGTTGGCAGTGCTACTGATGATAATTGAGTCAGCAACATATTTCTGTGTAGAAGTGTTGATGACTTTCATTGTTTCCTCTAGTGGCTGTGCCTGCACGTTTACATACTGAAGTACACATTTTAGTACCACTTTCCCTTTGTTTTTCTTTATGTTGTATGATGTATGTGAAATTATTCTAATGATTTCAGCAGTTGTTACTCACTTTTATCTGGGGCTCATACCACAGTTTCTGTTTGTCATCTTGGTATACTTTCCCCAATTGCTTATCTCAGAGGACACACCAGGAAGTAGCATTTCTCAAAGTTAATGGAACACTGAGGGGGAAGAAAAGAGGCCAGTATGCCGTTAAACCCCCCTTTGAAACTGTTCAGGCCAAAACAGTTCCAGCTGTACTAGATGGAGAACTTTGGGATCAAGCACATTCCTTTATGCTTTGAAATAGATTGAAAACAATTTCTTAGGGAGGATCTTGGCCTTGCCATGGACACCTACTTGGCTTCCCTCAAAGTACAGATAGCCTGGCAATCGGTCCAGACACTCATCCTTGGACTTTGCACGTCTCAAATGGATGGCCCCACTGCCCAAGACATAGGGACTGCATTTACCTGGCTGTAGAGGTTTGGCCACACTTGAGTTACATGTCAAGGAATACAATCTAGAGTCTTTGTTACCTAGTACTTATCAAAACTTTAGCTGGTAACAATATTTAAATGAGTATTGTTTGGAAGACGTTTTAGATGAGCACTGTCCAGATTTACTTCAATGATGGAGATTTCTGTATCCAGGCTGTCCAATGCAGTAGCCACCTGTCACTTTTGACTATTAAATTAGAAATTTAATTCTTCATTACAGGTATCTGAGCCTAAAACCCAACTCCATTTTATATTTTAGAACAAAACTAGCCATGTTTATAGTGTTCAGTAACCAGAAGGGGCTATTGCATTGGACAGCACAAATAGAGAACATTTCCATTTTTGCAGAAAGTTCTTTTGGACAGTACTGCTTTAAAATCTGCCTCATGCTCAGGTGAGTGTAGAACTAGATAAGAACTGTATTATGGCAGTGCCCATCCCGGTTACTTTTCCTGAGCTCTTTGTTAATAAGTGGTAACACTATAGAGTGCTTATTAGCTTGCTTAATCTTCACCAACTATTGTTATTTCTACCTCACAGGAAAACTGAGGCACCTGAGGCAGGTCGGAATAACAGGCTCTAGGTTGCACAGCTAGAAGTGGCATAGCTGAGATTTACATTGAGGCAGTATGGGACTGGGGTCTCGTCTGATGCCTATCTCTGCTTGTTACGCCATTGTCTTAAAGTAAGAATTGTTTTGACAAGCCCGATGTATCCAACCGTTGTACCTATTTAAGGAAAGTTACTGAGGGTGCTGTTGGCACAGTTCTTTTTGAAGACCCCTGAGAAGGAATTTTTTCTTCTTAGAACCGCAAACAACTGCACTTCTGCCGGGCTTTGCTTTTATCTTATGTTCTCTATAAACTATGCAATTGATCAGGTAGAATTTCTCTTTCACACTGGATGCTGAAAATCTTAATGCCAAATTTAGGTTCCATCTGAAGCGATTGTGATATAAGTCGTTATGTAATTTATTAGAACCTCATTCCTGGTTTATTTTATATCCTCATCTTTAGTTTTATTTTCCTATTCTAAATGTTCACTTTTTATTTATGTTGTTCTATATTATTTAAGCCCCTGTAAGTCATTTTTGGATCATGATGGGTGATGATGGATAGTTAATTAGACAGCTACTCTTATTAGCACGAATTGATAGGACTACCAAAAAACTATCTATCAAAATCTGGAAACAGCAGAAAATGCATTGACCTTCTGCGATTGGAAACATTTGTCACCTACTGTTCAAAGTGCAGTTATGGTTTCTGCCATAGCTGCAATTGTCAGTTTACTTTATGTGTCTCTGTGTTCTAAAAAGGGTTTAAGTTAAACTGAATAAGCAGGTACTATTCTAAACTATGGAGATCAAAAGTCCTAGCTATTCCATTCCAGCATTCTGATGAAAGGTGAACATTAACATTACTATAGTCACAGGATCTTAGAGATAGACGGCCATTAGAGGTCACCTAGGGAGAGGAAAAAGATGGAGAACCTGAGTGACTGTGGCCCTACACGTAAGAAAAGGGCAGAACTCCTGTGAATCCAGACATAATTACTGCTACTTCCATGGCATTTCCCCTTATTCATGTGTCCCTAACCCCCACATCTCACCTCAGGCTATTCTACATGTTATTTAAAAATACAAGTATCTGTTGTTATTAGATACATAAAGATGAACTTTCTTGCTGTTAAGTTCTATGCACCTTAATAGTTAGCCAATATACTGACCTGTTCAGCAAGCTGATACTGTCATAAGCCAAGGATGTATTTTTCTGTAACCCCATTTGCTATTTGTTTATACACAAGAGAATCACCATAAACTTATCATCTCTCTTGTTAAACATTTCAAATGAGAAATCTTTTCACTTCTCAAAAAAAAAATCCACATCAAATAATGCACTTTCTCTATAAAGCTCCTTACCTATGGAAATGCTGTGAGGAAGCTAAGCAGAAGCCCAGAGTTTCCACAGTAGGCATTAGTGTTACTACTTTTTCACTGGTCATTCAGTACTTTTTCTTATTAAAACAACTATTTCTTCAATCCTATTGTCTGCTGTATACTTGAAATTCAAGTTAGGAGGTTGATGATTGCAGGCCCAATTATACACTTAAGATCTAGGGTTATAAAATGCCCAGCATGGTGGTACTCAACACCATTCACTGCCTGGTTCTGTAGTGTGTCAAGACATGTGTTGTGTATATTAATTGAGCCCCTCAATATGTGTTCCTATGTGTCCTTTCCTGTATCTTTGGATTTCTAATAGGGCATTTAGAAACGGATGAAGATAGAATAACCCACACTCAGAATAATAAAACTATCATTGTAGCTGCTTAGGAATCACTCGTTTAGGGGTGTTCAATAGATTTATTCTCCCCCCTTTTTTCCATAAAGGTTTTATTTTGTTTTTAATCTGGATTGTTTTTTCATTCCCAAATTAGTCTAAGGATCAATTTAATAAGCTCTGACCTAGGGTAATTCCAACTTGAA